AAAGCTGTCGTGACGGCCGACACTGTTAGTCGGTAGAGTCAAACGAGCTAACCATTCTGTTGTTTGGCGTTGAACGCCGAGTTAGAACCTTTCATGGCAGTGATGCCAATGTTCGATTCCTTTTGGAAAATTGTTGTTGTCGACCCAAACCATTGTGAAACCCGGAAATTGAATTTATGATTTGTGCTCGAACCAAGTGCCGAACCTGACTGGGTGTAGCCACGCGAAGTGGTGGCCGAGCCCGCATGCCCGTGCTGAGAGACGTGAGGCCAACTGCAGTGGTCGATCGTTGACTCGCACGAGAGCTGCCGCCGCCATCACCGAACGCCAAACTCCCCAGGTCAGTGTGTACGGCCAAACCTTGACCTTGTAGCTGGTATCCGAGTGGGTACATGCACACGTACCGGCACCCCGCATACGCAGCACCAGCGTGTGTGTCACCTCTCGGGTGACAGTGCATTAAACCCAGTCCGTCCTTGTCTTTTGAGGTCTTTGAACCAGATTTTTGGTCAATGTGTATGTTGATCTTTTGAGTCGTTGTGGGAATTCCCTAATCAACAATCCCCGGTGTATGAGGCTTGTTGACTAGTTTCCTATGCCACATGCGAGGATTCCCCGAGTTGGCGAAATAGGAGATTTGTGATGTCAACAAACGAAGCCAAGAGGGGCTACGTTTGTATCGCAGAATCGTATGTTGTGAGTATGAGTATAGCGAGGCTATATTGCGTGCATGGTTGCACATTTACCGTGACAATTGCTTCGGCAAGAGGTCACGAGTGTGTCGAGATTGTGGGTAAGTTTTTGGCGTGACCCGGGCACCATGCTGAAACTCAACTCCACGTATCGACCAATATTGTTGACCGATGATATCACGGTCAAGGCACTATGAGTTTTTGTGGTATCTCACCTTGGGTGAGCCGTTTTATATTTTGAACGGGTATCTGGATGGTACCGTTCGGTTTTTTCCCCTTTCGTATGATTAGAGGTGTGTTATACCTCGGTTTGGGAAAATGAGGATCCGTTGTTGTGAGCAGTTAGTCTTTTGAGATCCTTACTCAAGTCGTTGACTTGGATTATCCGCTAGCTTTACCACCAGTTGTACCAGGGGTGCATGCTGTGTTTACGTCTCGAT